CATGTTATTATGTCATCATGTCATTATGTCATGTTATAATGTCATCATGTCATTATGTTATGTCATGTTATTATGTCATCATGTCATTATGTTATATCTTCATGTTATGCCATCTCATATTATGTCATCACGTTATGTCATCATGTTTTGTCATTTATGTTATGTTATGTCATCATGGTATTATATCATCATGTCATGATTGTCATAGTCTGTGTTTATTCTCCTTAGTTTTCCTAGTGTTTTCTATGTTCCCCAGTGTGTCTTTGCCCAGCTGCCCCTCATCACACTGCTGATTACCCTTGTGTTTCTCCCCAGGTGTTTTCTGTTCCCTCATTAGTTGTCAGTGTATTTAAACCCTGTCCTGTCTCAGTCTTGTGTCGGATCATTGTGTTTGCTGTGTTTGTTATGGTTCTCTGTGCTTTGTCCCCTGCCTGTGATCCTCGTGCTTCTTGTAAGTTTGCTGCCATCAGCCCTCTTTTTGTTATTTTATTAAACCTTTTTGTTAAACTTTGAAACCTGCCTGCGCCCTGGGTCTGTCTCGTCACCATACTCCTTCAATGATATGATATGTCATCATGTTATGTCATTGTGTTATGTCATGTTCTTATCATGTTATCACTCAAGTTATGTCATCATGTCATTATGTCATGTCATCATATCATGTCATTGTGTTATGTTATGTTATGGCATCATGTTATGTTGTTATTATGAAATCATATCGTGATCATGATATGTCATGTTATGTCATCATGTCATTATGTTATGTCATGTTATGTTATGTCATGTAATGTCATCATGTCATGTTATACAATGTTATGTCACTGTGTTCTGTCATGTTCTCATCATGTTATCACGTCAAGTTATGTCATCATGTCATTATGTCATGTCGTCATATCATCTCATGTTGTTATGTCATGTTGTTATGTCATCATGTCACGTTATGTTATTATGACATCGTATTATCGTGATCATGTCACGTTATGTTATTATGACATCGTATTATCATGTGATCATGTCACGTTATGTTATTATGACATCGTATTATCATGTGATCATGATATGTCATGTTATTATGTCATCATGTCATGTTATGTTATCAGGTCATTATGTTATGTCATGTTATGGCATCATGTCATGTTATTATGACATCATATTATCATGTGATCATGATATCTCATGTTGTTATACAATCATGTCATGTCATGTTATGTCATGTCATTATGTTATGTCATGTTATTATGTCATTATGTTATGCCATGTCATTGTTATGTCATATTAGGTCATCATGTAATGTTATGGCATGTTATTGCCATCATGTCATGTCATGTTATATATGATCATGTCATGTTATGTCATCATGTTATGTCATCATGTTGTTATGTCATCATGTATATAATAATTACAATCTTGTGTAACACACTTCCAAACCTGACCCACCCCTCCCAGATTTAGTTTTAACATATTGTAATTTTTCAGACTTGCGTTGATTCTTTCAGAGCCCATCTGGTGACATGGAATTTAAAAAATAATCACCTGGCCATGACATAACATGTGCCCACGCAATGACTAATGCGTGCGCATGCAATAATAAATGTATGCCATGAGATAATTAACGCATGCCCATGAGATAATTAATGCATGCCCATGAGATAATTAACGCATGCCCATGAGATAATTAATGCATGCCCATGAGATAATTAACGCATGCCCATGAGATAATTAATGCATGCCCATGAGAT